TTCTGAATCACACTTTCATTGCCAGATCCTGCTAACCGCAGCTGGTGAAGACTCACCATGTGGTGAAAGACTGTGGTCAGCCACTCTTATATAACTTATGAATTGGCGTGCTGGACAATGACAGATGAATACAGTTATTATTTGCAGTCCCCACACTCCATGTGGTGGTTGTTTTATATAAACCAGTCTTAACATAGTGCTTCTACAACATCTTTATACCTGTGTCAAAATAATGAACTTATAACTTATTTGAAAAGAAAGCAATAGTGATTTGAAATTAATCACTAGCTTCTTATGTTGTTAAAAAAATTGCACACCTTTGTTGCTTGTCAAAAACAGCTGCTATTTTTTTTCACTAAGAAGAAAGCTTTATGATAAGGATATGGTCAGAATTAACTGATAGTATTGTATGAATAAGGCAGCTGTGCCAGGTAGCTTTCGTGAAACTTGTGCCTTCCAGATGTGTCGAACTACAATTAATTTCATCCCCACCCCCACTGCCAGCAGGGTATGGTGGGAATTGCTAGTTCAACATCATCTGAAGGCTGCTCTACATCATAAACTGGGAAATCAAAGTCTTCTCACTGTCCTCCAGTGAAAGTTTCCATACAACCTTTTAAAAAAAGTTAATATGCTCTATAGAGATTCATCTGCTTATATGTGATGCTGCATGTGCTCTGTGATAAATATATTTACATTCTGAATCCACAAAACTGTAGTTCTGCAATTTGAATGGGGCTGAATCTGCATGAAATTCAAAATTCTTTGGACACCATGAGCCAGCCAGGGTTCTACACTATGAAGATTCATTCATTTCCTGAGAGAGAAAGAGGAAGGTTCTTTCCTTGTATTTATTGAAATCATCATCAAAGTGTGAATCATGATCTGTGTTTCTTCTGCAGAGAATGATCAGATATACAGTCATTAATATAACAAGTTTTCTACCTTAACTTTAGTTTGAATTGGCAATTTGAATAAAAAAGACATATGTAACATTATTACATGCAGTGACAAACACATTAAAAAAAACAGAACATAAGCAAATTTTCCTGTAGGTTACATACTCATGGTACTTAATATGCCTATAGCACTTCCAGATACTCAAAGGGTTTTCCATCATGTGCTGTGATGTAGTCCTTACAAGAACCTTGTAAGGTTAGTCATCATCATCATCATCATCATCATCATCATCATCATCATTATTTCACCATATTGGGAGAAGGGGATTGAGGCTGCAAGACACACAGAAAAAGGGAAAGGGAACGAGAGAAGTAGAGCTTATTTCCAGCAAGCTCATGAATTCATGGCAAAGCTGAAATTCAAATCAGAAATATCTTGACTGATTGCTTTTTCTCTTTATCTGTGTGGTCCTTCAAAAGTTGCTGAATTGCTACTCCAGCCAGCAATAACCAAAGGTGAAAGATGACAGAAGCTGCGGCTCAACAACATCGGGAAGGTTACATGTTCCTCACCCAGCTTTAGTCACTATATTGCTGCATCTGTTGGATAACACCTTAAGATTTAACCTGTTCAAGATAATAATTGCCAACCCATTAATTAGCTAAAATGAATAGTGGCTGTATAAAGCCAACAGCAGTTCACTGTGAAAAACAAAATGCTGGACCAGATAAAACTTTGATCTGATCCCGTGACCACTTCAGAGATTTTGGCTTGTGAACACCCAATCTGGGTGTTTTCTGTAATTTAGGTCACCTTAACTTATTGTTGTTGTTGTTAAATTAGACTTTCCTAACCACATGTTTCCATCTATAATACCCACCAATTTTCTTCCAGCAGCCTAAGTAACATACCAGTGGGTATTTTGTTGTTGCTAAACAATTGTTGATCAGTTACACATCACAGAACTCTTTCTGCCTTCCGCTCAAGCAGAAGAGGTGTGTGTGTGTGTGGGGGGGTTATGCAGGCTTGAAGAAAGTGAAAGTACCTCTATGCTATGCCTGTTGAAAAAGTGAACAAGAAACTTGATGAAACCATCCTGCATGTTGATGGCTAGAAAGCAGGGGCTTCATATTAGCATGTAGTGCTGGTCTCTGGCCATAATAAAGTATGTATGTATTAGAATGTAGATGGGTGTCCCAAGTTCTCTTGCCACTTCATGCAGGAAACAAAGACCTGCTCTCCACCCATGTTGCTGCCACTGTGGCCACCAACACTGCTGGCCTATGAGAGAGCTAACTCCCCTGCTACCCCATGTGGAGCCCATAACTGAAGCAGTAGCTCCATCCATAGTTCTGTGTGTCCCTCCTGCTGCAGGAGGTAAAAGCAAACAATCCAGCAGCTTGCTTTCTTTTCTTTTATGCCTGCCGCTAAGGGGGCAAGGGTGCATTCTCAGTGCCAAGGCAAAATGGGAAGGATGCCCAAAGAAATCGTTGGTTTCTCACACAACTTTTCTGGAAGTCCTTCCCATCATGCTATCGGCTCTGACCTGAAGGTCAAAGTATTCTGGCAGGATGTAACAGAATGACTGGGCAGGTTGACACAGTAATAGATAGTCTCTAATGAAACTTTACTGTTGTTCTCATTATTTACCGGAGATAATGAAAATTAGTTGATAAAGAGTTGGTGGTGATTTTCATAAGGGCTGCAAGAACTGAAATTGCCCCATCATGAAAAAATGCTCAAGGACTTTCCTTAAAATGATATTTGGTTTGAATATAGGCAATAGGACTAATGGAAAAATTGACTACAGTACTCATCTTAGACTGCTTAAAGGAGAAATAAAAGAAGATAATTTCATTAAAATTTGGCACCGTTTGTTAGTTTTTAGTTTAAAATTAAACAGAGAGGATGATATTTTAAGAAGTTGGCTGAAATATTGGTCTGTTGTCTTTTAAGCTTTATAGAATGAATGCATTATGGGATTATAGGAATGGATTGTATTATTTGTACTGATTGTATTGGTAATATGGGTTATAAAATAAAATTAAAACTTGTATTGAAAGAGCTATTGGTGCTGAGTAAACATTGGCAGGGCCAGCCCTAAACTTACAAAGGAGTAAAAGGAATTATATTTCCTTCACTGTCAGAAACAGAGGGAAGTCCACCCACTGCTTCTGTTAAAATCAAAGTGAATATTAAATATATGGGCAACGAACACCTGAAGAGATAAAGATATGGCACCCAACTATGGGAGCAAAGCATCATGCCAAGAGGTTCTTCCATTTGAGGAAGGCCTCAAGTAATGGTTGATAGACGAGGATTCTGTATCAGTCTCCAGGATCGCACTTGGCTTTATCCAGCCACAACCCCATTGATTAAAATGTGCTATTGTCTCTTAACTTGACCATTCCCCTTAAGAATGCATGCAAATAACTATCTCACTTGATTACTCACTCTTAGCTCTGTCCCTGATATGCAGAGAGGTTTTGAGCATTAATTGGCCATAGCATATTAAGTATGGCCACTATACTTGAAGTGGCTCTATAGGAGATCATTGGACAATTTTAATAATGTTCTGGCAAGAAATGCTGTTGTTGCTCAACTCAACCTCTCATTCTCATCTGATGTGAGACTTGATGTAGTGGGGAGCAAATCAGGTAAACTGACTGAAGCTAAATTCAGACAACAGAATGATTCGGTGGCCTGGAGGACAAGCATGGTAGGAGTCACCATAATGGATAGGACTTAACTACTCCTAGGCATGGAGATGTGAAGCCAACGGGTGGTCTTGGAAATCTCATAAGGTGGTGATCCAACTGTTGCCTTTGACAACATCTGTTTTATAGGAAGGCTGCAATTTTTTAAAAAAACAGAGACCTTTGTTTATATTTTTATTGCCTTGATGCTAAAAAAACACCACATATATATGGTGCCATAGGCTTTAAAGGAAGCAAGTAAGAGCACCAAAGCCTAGAGGATACAGGTCATTTTCTCTCATGTGATAACACTGTGGATGCATATATCTAAAACCAAGATAAGCTTTCTTCTTAACTCCATATCTCTTGTTCACTCCCCTCCAATCTCTAATGGTAAGCCCAAACTACCCATGCCTTCATGCTACAAGTATTAAATATGGCTGCAACTAGTTTAAACATTGATTTCTTAGTCCACCTCCCCACATGGTTCAAGGCCAGCTATCTGCCTTATTACTGTTCAGTGCACTGTTTTGTGCAACTGAGTTTATTCGACGCCTTCAATTCTTTTTTTTTCTTTTTTGGTAAAGTAACCATCATGTTTTTAAACATTGAAACAGTGCCCCAAATTGAAGGGGGAAGTAAGCTCATAATGTCATAAGCACTGACCAAGTAGCAATGTCCATAGCCAGCTGCTGCAGACTGTAGAACCAGTTTCTCTTGAGCTCAGTCTTGGAACAAGGAGAATGTTCATCTGGACAAAACTCAGTGATAGGACTTCTACAGCACCCTGACTAGGCTATTTAGGTATACGCATGTAATTTCTTAGGAAAGAAACATAGCATTCCTTCAGATCTATCAAATGACCAGAGAATAATAGCAAGATCTCAGAGCTTTGTAGCAGGTAAATATAAGAATATTTCATTCACAGTGCAGCAAGCCTGCCTGTATTATGTCGATGTATTTCCTTATGTTTTAAGTTTGGTCATTTCCACATGAGCAAAATGAATTTACTGTGAAAATGGACAGGTTATAGTTATCATGACACTGCTTCAATTTCAATGTAAGAAAATATACAGGCTGTATATTTTCATGTGTGCATCTGTTGGAATCAGTTCACTCACTCCTGGTTTACACAAGACACCCTCCAGCATCAAATAAAGTGGGACATTAACAAATGTGATCTGACCTCCACAAATTGCTACTAAGTCATGGCTTATAAGAAACCTGTAATCGGTACAAAAAGAACCAAAGAAAATGGAGGAGTGATTATCTGTTTCTAGGAATATCATAAAATATAAGAATTTCTCGTTTACAAGATAATTGTTTCAATTAAAAACTCTACAAACTCGTTGCTGTTAGTTAGTATAAAAAGAACAGTCTTCACATATTTGCATGTGTATTTGTCTTTTCCAATGCAATATTCTGTGCTGAACGGAAGTAAAAATGTACACTCAGTTCTTTTTCTCTTCTGCTGGTTTCTCAGCTTCGTCCCCTGCATCTGACAAAGTACCACTTCCGTATTTTTTCACTTTGGTCTCCACTTTTACAAGTCTCTGCTTGACTTTGGACTGGGATGATGTGTATTCTGCCAGGAGTCTAGCAAATCTGGTCTGGAGAATGTCCAGGGACGATTCGAGTTTCTCTATTTTTTCTTCCAAGTCTTTGGGGTCAGCTCCTGCTTTTGCTGCCTCTTCATCAATTAAATTGTCTTTCAGTAAAATCTGCCGTCCTTTTTCTTCCAGTGCCTTTTTGGCATCAGGGTACTCTGTGAGCGCTTCCATTAGGTCATCCTTAGACAAACAAAACAGATCAGAATAACCTATGCTCCTGATGTTGGCTGTCCTTCTGTTACCAGATTTGCTGCCTTTGATGTTTAAGATGCTGATTTCACCAAAGTAACTGCCATCACTTAGGACCACAAACTGTGTCACGCCATCATCTGCCACCACAGCTAATTTCCCTTCTTTTATAATATACATTTCCCTTCCAATATCGCCTTTCTTGCAGATATAATCACCAGGACTGAAGACGGTTGGTCTTAGCTTCAACACCAGCTCAATAAGTAGCCCAGCTTCACAATCTTGGAAGATACGGACTTTCCTTAGAGTGTCCAAGTGTACATTTATGGCAATTTCAGCCTTCAGTTTATCAGGAAGGTACTTGAGAACTTCCTTCTCTTCCACAGTTTTCTTGTTGGTCCACAGGTAATCAAACCACTTAATGACCCTAGCTTCCAAGTCTTTTGTGACCTTTCGGAAATGCAAGTACTGTTTGATAGAATCAACCTTAGCTTGGAACTCTGCCCTGGAGGCATTCATGTTAGAAATCATAGAGCCCACATTACCAACAATGGTAGCAAAGATAAGTACACCTACCAGAAAGTCTATGACCACAAATAGATACTCTATATCTTTCACTGGAGGTGGAGTTTCACCAATGGTTGTTAGGGTCAAGGTCGACCAATACAAACTGTAAATATATTTTCTGGACAGACGACCATACTCTGGGTGAGATATGTTGGGATAGACCCAGGTATCTGTTCCAAATCCAATTTGCTTTGAAATGGCAAAAAATATGCACGCATTCCAGTGGATAATGATGAGAATGTACAAGACAAGGTTCCCAATACGGAACATATTTGGGTAGTTTGTTCTTGTTTCTGTACGGTCAAAAAACTCAAATAGCCTGGCAAACCTGAACAATCGATTAAATCGTAGTTCGGGATAGTTCAATCCAAATTTCAAATAACCCAGATCCGTCGGGAAAAGAGACAGCAGGTCCAGCTTGAACTGTTGTGTGGCTTTGTAATTGTCTCTCAATTTCTTTGCATCTCGAACAAGCAGTCCTTGCTCAAGGAAACCTTAACATACAAGAGAAACAACAAATAAAAGCAAGAGATTTCTTAAACAAAAATGTCTATATCATGTTCTCATATATGTTTAGATGAAAAGATGCTGCTGTAGTCACCCTCATTGTCTCATTTTACACTACTATACTCCTGTAAAATGTTGCAAGACCCTTATGGGCCATATGTTCTCCTGGTTCCTATGCTAAAAAATTTTTGGAAAGCTTGGGAAAGTTATATTTTGGACTATAGTCCCAAGATTCCCCCAGCCAGCATAGGCAATGGACATTCTAGCTGGAGGATTTTTGGTGCTGTAATAATAATAAAAATATGATTTCCAAACTCCAGTGGTGAAACAGGTGGCTCATAAGAGAGAGCTGTTTCAATAATGGCTCTATACACTACTCTCTTTCTGTATCTTGGAATAAAAATAAAAAATGCCTTTCATACTGTGCTTACATTGTGATCTTTTGGATACCAGGGGACAGCAATGTTGGCAAGTCTTTGGTACCATGTCCTGAGTCTCAAGTCCCAAGTTCAAGTCCCTATTAAAAACAAACATGTTTCCCCAGAAAAGAAGGGAGAGGTGGGTTGGTTCCAAGTCATGAGTCGAATCCCAGTCATTGGAGGGGGGAAAAAACCTGAGTCAAGTCAGTGATGTGACTTAAAGTCCAACTTGACAGCGACTCGAATTCTCGTCCATGCCAGGTGAAACATAGACACTGAAGTTTAAGGTAAACATTAATGTACATTTAATTTACTATTAAACAGACTAAAATCCCAGTCATTGGATGGGGAAAAAAACTTAAAGTCCAACTTGACAACGACTCGAATTCTCATCCATGCCAGATGAAAATAGACATTGAAGTTTAAGGTAAACATTACTGTACATTTAATTTACTATTAAACAGACTATGGCAAATTCTTAGTAGGTTTTCCAGTCCTACTGTAACCCCTATGAAATATTGGTTCAGCCTAAAGGGGTGGAACTAAGAACGAAAAAGGCCGTAAGGAATTTAGAAAGATGAGATGCAATTAATCAGTCAATCAACCCCAGAGCGAGCACTTCACGTTGCTAACCTGGGGTGGAGAGTGAGACCATGGATAACATGCCCTGAATTGTGTCTGAATGACAGTAGGAAAGCCTGTCTTTGGTTAGGACAGTCCAGACACAAGCTCTTCCTCCATCTGAGGAGGGAGGAAAATCACTCCTGCTCCCTGCCCTCCCTGTGTGGCAACATCTACAGAGGGAGAGGGGAGAGAGAAGAAATGTGATTCCTAGAATCACCTCCCTATCATGGCTCCTTGTCAACTGGCTCTTGGGATCGTGCCTACTTTGTGAAGCCAGAGGAATGTGGGAGGAATGGGCAGAAAAATTGCCTGTGTCATCTTCTCACAAGGCCTTGGCCCCAAGGACCTCCCAAGTCAAGGATGATGCCAAGAGCCTGACTTAAGAAATCGCTGTGATATGGAACTGGCCAGGCTGTCTTTTAAGGGAAGAAAACATCACAGGGGTGGAAGAAAATGGCCAGGAGACAGATTGTGAGTGGCAGTGGCAACCTTGTCATCATCCTCAATGTTCCCAAGCCAGACCTTGAGTCTGCCCTACAAGTCCCTTCAGCCCCACACAACCTAGGCAATCCTAAAATAGTGTGGGAGTTGTCTGACAAAACACCTGGGATGCCAAAAGCTATCCCCACCCCATTCCGGCACTAGATGACCTCAATTACTATTTGCCCCCCTCCCAAATTATTCACAGAAAATGGCTCAAAGAACTCACCTGTCCTGAATCTGACAAACGTGTCCATGACATAGATGGCATCAGAGGTATAATCCAAAATTAGCCAGAGTGTAAGGTGCTTCATTTGGAGCTCATCAAAACAGGCTCTAAACAAGAACAGAACAGAAGAGAAAGAAGATTTGAACAGAGCAAACAACTGGTCCAAGGCTATCCCTAACAGGGGAAAGACTTAAACACATGCCAATCTATCCACTGAAAAAAAATAAGATGGTTTAGCAGTGCTTAACACTGGATTATGGTCACAAATTCAGAGATGGATTTTGCTTAATTGCACTGTGTGATTAATCTGGTAACCAGGGTGGGGAGTGCTTTGAGGATGCAGCTTCAGGCTATTAAAAAACCTGCAGATTATGGGTTTTCTCAATCCACCAGGTGGCGCCTGGAGGCCACTGTAAACACAACAAATGCTACAAATCTGAGATGGGGGAAAAAACAGAATTCCTGTTTCAGAAGGAGCAGGGCATGGACTAATACAACTTGTATGTAAGTAAGCTTACTTTTACCAGAGCAGCTGAAGAAGAATGGAAGCTGAAGTATTTTGCTTAAATATTTTTGTTTCTTAGTCATTTTTAAGTGTTGTTTAGTCGTTGTGTCCGACTCTTCGTGACCCCATGGACCAGAGCATGGCAGGCCCTCCTGTCTTCCACTGCCTCCCTATACACTTTTAAGTGTATAGGGCTTTAAAACAAAATTTTAAAGTGATGGGTCCAGAGTTAGTCATATTTAAGGAATTCCCACTGAAATCAGTGGGAGTTTAATTGGTTGTGACTAGTTGAAATCCCATTTACTTAATAACTATGACTAAGTCTGTCAGCACCATGCATTAACTAAGGAAATGGGGTCAGAGTAAGCCCAGCAACATGTCACATAAATTCTGCAGAGGATGGGTAGCACAGAAAAGTTATTATGTTATTTTTCCTTCTGCATGTATGCCACTATCTCTCTGAGAGGCCGACATTAATCAAGCAGGAGTACAGAAATGCTGTGGTACCATACAGAAAGTCAGAGGGTCTAATTTTCAATAAATGATATACTGTACTGGTGTTGTGAAGAACACCAGTATATCATTTATTGTGGGGAAAGGGGAGAGAGGGCTAAATCCAAAATCAGCAGCAACACAAACAAAAGCCCCCATGAAAGAACGATCCTTACCTACATATTAACATACACCAGTTATAGAACACGGGTGCTGCAATGATAGACAACCACCTATAGTACATGTTGGTCGAAGGGTCCATCACAAAGACTTCTTTTTTCTTCCTGAAAGTAGAAACTTATAGATGAGAAGGTACGTGCACACATGCCCAATCACAGGAAGCAGAAATTCTGCATTCAGAGGGAATCCCCTACCACAAGCAAAGCTGTAATGGCTGCAGTTCACCAAGGCCATCATTCTCAGGGAATAGAAATTGTTTAGGTAAGACACAGAGTTTTCAAAATAATTATTAAAAACTAATTTTCCATCAACCCTCATCTCTTCCCCGACAACCTGATTTACATGGATTATTCATCTGTGATCTTTTGTCATGATAACAGTAACTTTGGACACTCAAGACAGTTTGGTAGGCCCAACCAGAATAGGTCCACTCAATCTGTGGGATTTACTTAGGGTTGCCAGATGTCCAGCAAAAGGGGAGGCCCAACCAGAATAGCCCCGCTCAATCTGTGGGATTTAGGGTTGCCAGACGTCCAGCAAAAGGAGGACCATGTACGGACTTGATCCAATGATTGGTGGACTATGAGGTATGAAAGGTGAATGACCACAGCGGTAAATGAGTATGTTAATGAATGGCATAAATTCCTTTCAACTGGCCCAACACAATGCCTGCATGAACATGTAAGCCGCCTAGAGTGGTCTTAACTGACTAGATAGGTGGGATATAAATAAAATAAATAAATAATAAACATTCATAAACTGAAACTGTCAGGTTTTTTATCTCATCTGACCTAGCAAACCAGCTTTAATCTAACAGCAAAACCACATACTTTAACCATATGCTTTAATCCAATTATTTATTAATTATTTACTTATTTAAAGCCTCCACCCTGTTTTAAGTTGCCTTTTAAACATTAACTGGCAAGCGGTGACGCATAGCTCCACTGGGAGCTGGCTATTCAAAGACGGTGCCACCACAAAGAAGGCCCAGCTTCTTGTAGATGACTTATGAGTCTCCCTTGGGGTGGCTACCTGGAGGAACATGGCCTGGGTTGGATAGATGATATTTGGGAGAGGCACTCTGACAGGCACTCCATAGTACCTGGAGGCTGAAACGGATCAGAAAATCGAGTAAATTGCTCTCCAGGTTGCCTGTAAAGGTGTCGAAGCCTCTTCTTATGCTAACAGATTTGCAGTCAGACTACCTTAAGGGGGCTCTGTAAGACTACAGCAGTATTAAATATCACACACCTAAAGGGAAAAGAGAGAGTAAAGGTGGCAAAAAGAGATCCTCATGAGCAGCACGATAGGAACCCCCTCTTGCTTTCTTTTGGGTTTTTTTTCCACCACAAACAGAAGGTGCTTTTTACACTCTTGCTAATAAAAGCAGGACAGAACAAAAACGAGACATAACATTCTTAACAAGCTTTAGTGATATTGTACTAACTTCTAAACAGCATTACTACAAGTTTACTACCAATATACAAAATATGCTACTATCTCTATTATTTAATCATTTATCTCTGGTACACTACACACACTTGGGATGTAATCTTTGCAACAGACTTCTTGCAATCAAAGTTTACTTTGCTTCTATGTGTATGCCTTCTTTCCATTATGCTGCATGGATGGCAATCCTTTCAAATGGGGACACACTGAAGAATCCACAACTAGGACTGGAACCTTAAGGATACTTAGGAAGAAGTCAAGTCCACAAAAGAACATCTGAATAAACATGCTTAGCTTTGAGCTCCTGAAACCGTAGACCCGCTCAGCTGGCTAAACTGTTAACTAAGCTGGGGCACTTGACTATGGAGCCAGGGGTTGTGAATTCGATTTTCCCATCATTCTGTGCAGGGGAATTGCTAGCTTGTGTAGCCTTGGGCAGGCTCCATAGCTCCAGAGTGCCCTCAGAGGAGGTCTCTGGTAAACCACTTCTGAGTCCTCTGCACCTAGAAAACTTCGGAAAGAGTCAATATAAATTGGAATCAACTTGATAGCACATTGTTTTTGTTTTTATACACACTTGCTTCAAGTTAATCCCACTGAACTCTGTGGCATTTGCTTCCAGCTGAAGGCACACTGGCTTGTTTGCATTCCGACACAGATTTGTCATTTCTTTAGGGCTATTAATAAAGTTCTATCTTTTTAGTGTCAAAACTAGTGCAGGAGTTTTTCATATGAGAAGAGAAACCCTACACAATTTGTCTGGCTACAAATCTTTATAGTGGCATGATAAGGAAGTAGCATGCACAGTACTGCTATAATGACTCAGCAGCATGGTCGTCATGTTTAGGCATGCTACAATACATCCTACATGCAGATTTGCAAAAGACTGTGTGAAAGTCCCAATTTTCCATAATTAGTAGGTTTCCAAAACAACTCTAGAATGTACAATTGTAGAATGAAAACTGATCACAAATTTTGACATTATGGCCGTTCCAGAGATAATTGAGTAACAATTAATTGATTATGCCCTGTTCAACACCTTAATGAGCATCAAGTGTGTTGCAGAGATACAGTTATTCTGGTATACTTACTCTTCTTCCTTCTTTTTATCATCTTTTTTGTCATCTTTTTTCTCCTCTTTCTTTTCCTCTTTCTTTTCCTCCTTTTTTTCCTCTTTCTTTTCCTCTTTTTTCTCCTCTTTCTTTTCCTCCTCCTTTTTTTCCTCCTTAATCTCTTTCTTTTCTTCCTTTTTTCTGTATAATACAGTGTAATAAACTTAGCATGGTTCATTGTTCACCCACAGGTGGAACTCTTACACTGGGAACATATTTAAGTAGTCTAGAAGAGGTGAGACTAAATCCATAGAAGGGCCATTCACACCTCTAACACAGAACAGTTGGCATTACATAGATCAGAAGTGTTTGGGGTGCTGCAAGACAATGAAAACAGCCCGCTGTTTTTCCAAGTGTGTTGTCCATTCTTTAAGAAATGGCAACAACAACAAAAATCCTATTTAGGACCAGAAGGTTGGATTAGACCATTGGTTCTTAACCTTTGTTACTCGGATGTTTTTGAACTGCAACTCCCAGAAACCCCAGCCAGCACAGTTGGTTGTGAAGGCTTCTGGGAGTTGCAGTCCAAAACTCCCGAGTAACCCAAGGTTCAGAACCAGTGGATTAGACCACAAAAATAATCTAATCCAACCCCTTACTGATGCAAGAAACCACTACTGCACAATTGCTAATGCCAGAAACCCACTAGTGATATCATACAGGAGTTTAATTTTTTTTTAAGAAAAATATACTTCTCCAGCTTGCTTATGTTAATAGTTTGAAGTTAATTCCAACATCAGTAAGATTAATTCCAGCTATTTCAGAACCCTAAGAATTTAAGTTATTAAGGCTGCAGCCTTAAACAATCCTATAGATACTTACTTGGAAGCAAGTGCCACATTCAATTCAGTGTCATTTATTTGCAAGAAAATGTCCATAGGATTGCATTGTACAAGTGGTATTTCACCTCCATTTGCTGCACCAGATCCCTGCTGGAGCCTGTCCAGATGAGCCAAAATCTCATAAGAAATAAGAGGACTGGAGCTTATCAATTGTGGCACCTACAGTGCCCTGCTGAAATCCTTGAAATTTGGGGAAAATACACTGCAAGATTTTAAAACATGGGGGAGATTTTGAGTGTGTTGCATGTTAAAGAAAGACCTGTATCTGTAAACTATGCATGCAACAAATCAGGAACAAACTCAAAAATACCAGTGAGGTTAATTTAGAAAGGCCAAGGCTCAAAGGCCAGAATCCTGTTCTGAGCTTGGAATAGCTCAACCAGTAGATACTATTTTGCAGGTTGTTCATTACATGTCGAGCACTCATAAAAAAACAAAAAACTGCTTGCCCAGGTGCCTTCTCAGGTGTGGTAAAATCCAACAGGATTTTGGTCAAAGACATCCTCCTCCTCTTCATCTTTGCCTTCCCATTCCTCTCCTATCAGGTTTTAGACATTATCATGGCTATTCTTGTTTTGAAATAGTCATGATGGTAATCCAACCTGCAAACTTGAAGTAAGAAATTGCAAATTTGGATTTGCTTGCTTTTTCCCCCAGCACTCTGAAATTCTTAGACAGCATCACCAGTAAGCTGTGAAGAAGAAAGGGGATAGTTTGCTGTCTACAGGGGAGAGCACTTCATTCTCCTAAAGCACTCATTTATTGCAGAAAGTGAGCTTAAGAGGAAATGACCAGGAAAGCTGACCTAGTTGTCAGCAGTGTGTTTTGAGAAAGGGATTGTTAGGAGAGACTAGGCACAAGGTGTACTTACTCTTCATTGGTGTTGTTGGAGTAGTTGATGTTAAATCTGGCCAGAGCCCATTGACTACAATGAGTTGAAGTGAATGAATAAATACAGAAATGAAAGGATGAATAAGCAAACAAACAAACAAGCAAACAAACAGAAAGAGAGTATGAAAGACAACACAAACAAGAAATCGTGGCTGGTATATGCATACATGTCACTAACACATCAATCATTGATTGAACTTTTAGTCCGTCTCCCATATGTTGAAAAGATTAGAGAGGTCAACTTTGACCGCAGCGCTAAGCCCCTTTGCATAACTATTCAGGGCACCCGCTCCTGTCCTCATTCACGTGCAGTTCATACACGTTTGTGGTCATGCCTGGTGTCTGAAGCCCTTTAGCCAGCTCTTGGGTGTATTAATGCTTGACCATTGAGGATCTGGCTATTTATAACCTGGCTGCAATTCTGAAATGTTCCCCAGGCTTCTCCCATGATCCTTCTAGGAGCACTGCCAAGATTGCTGGACAGTAAGCAGAAATATTTCCTGTTGCTGCAAACAGCACAACAGATCAGAGGCATGTTGCAACTCTGTAACAGTAATAATGTGGGGGGAAGGGAGAATATGGTGAGTAGTTTAGAACCTATTTTGAATATTCTTTGTTTCAGGTGTTCACAGAATCATAAGTGATAAGTACACTTGATAGGCTGCATCTGCTGGAAAAGAAGGAGTCTCACAAGCCGCACATCACAATTGCCTTAACATAAAACATCTGTCCTGAAATGACTGACTGTTCAGATCAACCTTAGAACTATTGTGAGCCATAATGAACAAAGTAATGAGCAGTGTCAACAGAACAATAATCTTTAAAAGGAAGGTTCTACATCTTAAAAAAAAGAAAGAAATCTGTGTTCTATGGTACAGTATATTTAGGGCAAGAGATGGTTCAGCTACTCTAACAAAACCCACAAATTAGTTTTGTTACAATAAATCAGGCGTAGATGTGGGTGTTGTGGTCTATGATCAACTTCTGGAACACTAAGATACCTGCTAAGACCTCAAGTGTGAGGAGCTATCAGTCAACATTTTAAATGACTGATTTGCAGTTTTATGCAAATGCCATACAACCAAGCTATGCCCAAGAGATGGCACCAATGTAAAAGGCAGATCACAGAGGTTATATTGTAACATCCATCATCCTAAAATCTGAAGCTATCTTTCATAGCAGCCATTCACTTGAGTACAAGAGTATGGAAATGCCCTGGCTGAAGGAATTTGCAGTTTTATGAAAATGCCATAAAACCAAGCTATGTCCAAGAGATGGCACCAATGTAAGAGGGAGATCACAGAGGTTATATTGTAACATCATCCTAAAATCTGGAGCTATCTTTCATAGCAGCCATTCACTCGAGTGCAAGAGAGTATGGAAATGCCCTGGCTGAAGGAATCATCTAACTGAGGAATGACTGAGTTCCTTAACACTAGTGATCTCAGCCACAGAAAAATCAGAAGAAACTGTTTTTTCAGTCATGCTTCAGAAGAATAGCACCTTAGAAACAAGCTGTGTATGTACACAGACACACACACACATATACATGTCTAACTGAGTGAGTAGGCTTTGCACAAACATCCTATCAGATTAACATTCTGCAGAACTAGGATCTGATATTTGCTGCACAATTCAGTATTCTGAATGTACTTTTTAAAAATAATCCAGGTGGCTATCCAGAGGAGCGCGTGGGAATCCATTGAGCAATATTTTGAGAAAATTCTGAGTCTTTCGGGTTTTAAGCCTGTGCCCAGTCTCCAATCTTTCTTCATTACATTCAGTTTTCTGCCACTTCCATTCTGTGGGCTTCTATGCCCAGCCCTTTTATCTTGATTTATCCACCTTGACAAAAACATGGTCAACTTTTTAAACAACTGGATTTATTTTATGTACATTGTTATTCCTGTTTCCAGAATGTTGGCTTCCTTTGGAGTAAAATGTGATGGGTTTGTTTTTGTCAAAGAATAAACGTAGCCATCCATATCACATATTATCTATATGTTTTCATTGCCTGACTTTCTTGAACACTGTCTCATTAAAGAACTCAAATCAACCATAGGATCAGGAGTATGAAATAAGTATGCACATTAGTAGAAAACGGACATAGACTTGAAGCCATTTAAATATTACAGTGTGGTCCACATTGCATTGAGGCCAATGACAACATTCCCATTTTATTTGATCTGTCTGAGGAGAGCCCTTAGCTGACCCTCACCTCGATATAGTCTTGAAAGAAATCATTTTCTTCTTTCTTTCTAAATCTAACAGCCACAAGAAAGATTCTTCTATTTAATCAGTGTTACCCACTTACTTTTTCAAGCCATTTGCTTCTTCATAGTTTAATTCGGGGCTGCTGTCTGTACTTGAGAAATCTCTGAGCTCTGGCCCTCGAATGCGCTCAAGAAAAGAATCTGGCCTCTGGTCTTCATGATGCAGGTGCCTCCTAGTCCAAGACCTCAGGGATAAGATGAACCATGATAATCTGAAAGGAAAGGGGGGACCAGCAGACAGGGGATTCAATCAACAACCACATGTTGTTGTTGTTTAGTCGTTTAGTTGTGTCTGACTCTTCGTGACCCCATGGACCAACAACCACATAGTTCAAGACAATTCACAAAGCTGGCATGCAACATTTCAACAGGTATCATTATAGGTATCTCGGAGTCAAACTATTTACAGCTTCCACAAACTGTATAGGTTGAACATGCTGGAGACTGAACCAACTGTCCGATCCACTTCACCCTTTCCATTTGACGTGGCAAATGTGCATAACCTAGCATGCACTGTCTTTACACTTCAAAAATGGGAAGAAAGTCTACATGTAGGTGCAAAAAGACATATATGATCTAAGAAGGAAGCAAGTACATGATAGTCCCACACTTACCATGATAAAAAATGAACCTTATGACTACTGGTGTACTTCAAGAAAATCAAAAGTAAGCCAGTGGAAAGCTTCCATCAAGCATTAACTCCCACATATATTTGAAGTTTACATACAACAGACAACGCTGAGGCGAATAAAATAGGTTTATATGGGCAGAGTGATATACCGACCAGCCACATTTACAGATGATGATGATGAAAGAAGCTCCATCATGCTTTGATACATGGCAAGATCATAGTTCACCACTTCTTTGCATATGCTTGAAGTGGGAGTTTAGCTGTGCCAAATACAAAATACAGTGTTCTAACTGTGATACATAGATTGACTTTGCCAAAACCGTCATTTTATTGTTGCTTTGATGTTCTTTTCTTGAGTTAAAAAAAGCTGTGGTTTCATAGCTCACCATGATTATCCAATGCAACACATCCCAAAACCTGGATAGACCAAAGGATCAAAACCAACTGACCCTTTCATTTCATTTATTTTCTAACAGCTTGACAAAGAACTGAACATATATCATGGACAACACTGCTGGTCATTCTCACCCCACTCCATATTTCCAATGCAAGATCCTGCAAGGTCACACTCACTGTCCTGATGTGGTGGAAATGTAGCTTACCTAGCCATTGCTCCACTGCCTGTGAATGAGCTCCTTCGAGATTCAGACATGCCACCTGTCTCCATGGAAATGACCCTCTGCAGTTCTGAAGATGTGTCTTCCTCACCCAGTGAGTGAGTCCTTCCAAATTGAATAGTGAAAAAAAAATAAGAACAACAACAAAAGGAACTTGTTTTAGTCTCCCTTCAATGTTCATTTGCCATTCCTTGAGCCTTTCCAGTTAGGCAACCGTGGAGGAACATACATGCCTTGCTCAATCACAAATGCTGTTACTGTCATGAGTGACATCAGTGGTGGGGGGACAGTCCATTAATCATCTTCTGCCTGGGTTCTGAGCTAAGAAACTCAATGTTGCTAAAATCTACCTTGAGATGAGACTGAGGATCAAAACATACATACAGGGAAATGCAGCTTTCCCCGCCAGCACAGTGATCTGCTTTATTGTGTATAACTCCAGAATTAGACTCATAAAGGAGGCTGCTGTTCACAGTCCAAAGATAATCAGGATGACAGGCAAGGTTCTCCTTTTAATGTGTTTTCACAGTCATATCCCTTCGCTTACTTTAGATGGTTTCTTCTTCCAGAAACAGGTTTCTCTGAATATATTTCAGCATTAAGATAATATGGTTTAGAGTGACATTTCTACATCTGATCTCATCTAGCACTCTCTTACTTGACCTTACACCTGATGACTGCAGCTTGAATTGTATATGCCAGTAAGCAGAAGGCCACAAAGGTGCCAACAAAGAAGGAATTTATTGAGAAGATTTTGGAACTAGAAGAAATGGATGATAGATCGGATAATAATAAATGGGAACTCCTTTATACCTGGATGAAATCTACACTGATTTAAGTAGAATAGATTAGATTAATATTATGTTAGAGAGTATAAGACAAGATGCAATGAATGGAATATATTGTAATAAATCACTCTGGTTGCAACAGATAGAAAAGTAGAAAAAATACAATAAAATATTTATTAATTTTTTTTTAAAAAATGGCACTCTCAATGTTGAAAGTGCTTTATATTCTTCACATTGTTATGTTCTCACAGTAACCCAGTGAGGGACAGACCCACTAGTATGTCCATGTTACAGCAGGTGAAGCTGGAAACAAGGTAACCAAACATACCTATTACAAACTTACTGTATGTAAAATGTATGTAAAATGGCATTTTACATGTAAGGTTTTAGATATGCTTAACTTTGATCAGACTATCAAGTATACTCCCATAATGCTTGAGTTTCATTTTGCTGCATTACCTGATAAATCCATTTTCCAAATTGTTAGGGTCATCATCAACAGTTTTCAAAGACAATCCATGGGCAGCTGGGCAAGAGTGATAGGTGTCAACTTTAGCCATTTTGCTTCACATGTCAGCCACCCAACGATACCTGGAATATGGGAAGAATATACAGTATTGCAGATTCTGAATTATAAGGAAATAACCTTAAAGATGTTTGAGAGAGAGAGAGAGAGAAATCTTTACGAAGACTATGAAAGTTTGCAATGCAATTTATTTAAAGCTGCTTATAGCTCTGTCTTCTAGATGCCTATTTAGAAATAAGTGTTGACAAATTCAATGAGGCTTATTCATAGATAAATACTTCTACTAGAGACAGGTAATTTCAATAGGTCCAGGGCATATGTCCCCAAAGACAGTGGCGGATTCCCAACCAAGACCCCTGCATTCCCCAAAACTAACAAAAAAATCTTATACAACATGTAAAATCTTGGGACAGAATTGGTGAAATTGTCCATCACATCTTCTCAGAGTGTGTAGAAGGCATTTTATGTAGAGAAAAAGGGGGCGGGGGATGCTGGGGGGGAGCACACTGGGGACCATGGGAGATCCCAAGCAACATTTTGTCCAACATTGATGTCTTGCTACCCTTTATTTAGAATTGCCTCTTCAGGCATGCAACTTTCCTGTCATCTTTTATGATAGAGGAGAACCTGTAGTCCTCCAGATGTTATTGGAGTACATCTTTCATCAATCATTGCCTATTGGCCAGGGTAGCTAGGGATGATGGGAATTACAGTAGAATCCCATAACATATGGAGACTTAGAAATTGCTTTTCCCTTATTTATAACAAAACAACACAAGCAGAAAAATATTAAAAATTAAAATGTGCTGTCAAGTCTGTTATGACTTTAAGTGACCCTCCCGGGTTTTTTTTTTTGTTGGTACCCTGGGAACATGCAATTTGCCCAAGACCACCCATGTGACAGCACTTAGCCTGACATGCTCCAAGTGGTTTTGGCTAGCCCCTCTCCCAGAAGGCACAACGGTGGTCTGAACTTTGAGCCCTGTTAAGTGCTCCAGCCCATTAGCTCTAGGACTAAATACGTTTCTGCACAGCCAGAGAAATGTACTGGGACCCTGAATCTGATACTTGGTTGCTTGTTTGTGCTCTTACAGTGCACCAAACTGTACATCTTTCATCAACAATGGCTTGATAGAACTCATCTTATTGTGAAGCTGAGCAACACAGCCTATTCAAAACAGTGATCTGTTGGCATAGAAAGTCTAGTAACTGAACCATAAAATTCAACAACCCCACAAAAAGACATTGAGGTAAAATGGGATCTAATCCAAATAGAATTTCACCTTTTGACAGAATTGGTTAATAGGAAATCAGAGATAGTTCTTCCATGTGTATTTCTGAGTTTCATACAATTTTATATAAATAAGGAAAAAATACTCATAATCAGAATTATATAGGTAGAGTGCCTTTCCTTTCATCATTAAAGCATTTTTGTTGCAAAAATTTTTTGTCAGTCACACTGCTGTCCAAATTTTTCACAATGTAGGGATACATATATAATTTCATTTTCATAAAAGGGTGTGACACTGATTTCATTCAAATCAAGAGCCACTCACTAATAGGCTGAAACAGGACAAAGACTGGAACCAAAGGAACAAAAAACGTAGCATGGAATCAGTTTATACGTGTATTGGGAACAAGTCTGTTGAAATCAAAAGTATTTACTACTGTGCAAACCTGCAAACAACTGTATTGTATAGGCAGAATAGTCCATATCCTTTTGAAATTAATGGCAAGTCTCTCAGTGAGTTTAATAGCTCTGTCATCTTACACACAATTTTCTGGCAATGTCTCGGTAAATTCTCTGCATGCTATTTTACTTCCAAACATATACTCAGTTGTGAAGGCAAATTCAACATTACACTGTGAGAATTCTCTGAAATCCCATAATCTGGTGGTGTGTTACAAGATATGAGTTATGACTGTATTCAGTTGTTACATTGGTGACATGACATCAATCTGTTACCTACACGATTTTGGTTTGAGATAATCTGCAGCTGATTATAGGTCAATGAAGATGAGCAAGGCTTGATAGGAATCTGGAATTGAGGGTTCTGGACTCAAACTCACCAGGTTGGGCCCAGACCTATTTGGTCACCCTTTAGTCCCATCGAAGTGCAGTTTTAAACCAACAATACATTAACTATCAGCCAACAACAGAATGAAAACAGTCTCAAGAAGCAATATTCAAAACAATACTGGCAATCAAAATCCCAGGAATTAATTATCCCACCTTTCTCCCCTAGTGGGAACCCAAGGGGGTGGCCAACAATATTTAAAATCCATGATTTAAAAAATATCAATTTACCGTAAATCTAAAACTATATATACAAATATTTGAAAATATTCTTTTTAAATTGTGAAATGAATTTTTTTAAAAAACACCTTCCCCTCTCAACTGCCTGCTGATCTCCCAAATGTCTCTCTAAAGACATATGTTCTCAGATGCTGGCAGAAGAAAAGGAGGGAAGGGGCTAAAGGCCCCTCCTGATGAAGGGAGCTCTATCCTCTGGAGCAGCCACAGAAAAAGCCCTCTTTTGAGTCCTCACCAATGCTTGTGATCGGACTGAGAGAAGGTACTCCCTTTATTACTAGTGGGGCCTGCACATATGCCTTTTGTAAAGGGTTATATAGTATGCCTTGACATCCTAGTGAGGGTGCCAGCACACCTGTGAAGGTCCTGGGGCACAAAGAGCCCAAAAGCAAATCACAACTATAGCTGATATCAAAATTGTATCCCATCATCCGCCTTCCAGCTTTTAACTCCTGTGATCTTTGGCATCTTATGATGTATTTTTAACCTTTACTTAGATTTTATCTTTAAATGAAGTTGCCTGAATGAAACCTTGCTTAGTTTTTATCCTCAGTTTATATCCTTTAGTAAAGTTTTCTGAATAAAAGCCAGTCTCTTAGATTCATAAAATGTAATTGTCTCATGGGGGGGGGGGGGGGGTTTNNNTTTCCATGTTTTCTTTTCCATTAGGAAGAAATCTGGTGCTGGGTCAGTAGTAGCACAACAAACGTTAATGTACTGCAGCTCCCACAGGCCTTGCCACCACAGCAGATCAAGATGGGAGCTGTAGTCCACCAACACCTGAAGGACCATACCTTCCACACCCCTGCTCTAAAACATCAAAATATGAAATGCTAAGTGCAAGCCTAACTATGATCTTCCCAGTTCCTGATAAGCTCTCCACAAGCAAGGTGGTAGCATTTACTCTGATTACAAAGATATAGATGGTTGTGTAAACCTACATTTAAGAAGCACAGTAACATTCACAATTGTCTTTGTTGCCCTGAATTATCTATTTTTGAGTCCCATGTCTCATTGATTTAATGAGTCCAGCTGGAATTAAATTGGATTTAGCCACCATGCACAGGTTATAATTGAAGGATATGCTGCTATAAATAACCTATATGTTCAAGACTACAGCTAATCTTGTGTACACCTCAGACAGAGAAGATATTCCATGGATGATACCATAGGTATCATAGCTGAGAATTACCTAGCTTTAGCAGATAAATTGCTCAAAGCTCTTCTATATTTTGTAACATGGACATTTACATTAGTAGGAAGGTTAGGAAGGCACATGACAAAAGTTGCTGCTAGGACATGAGCTTGCACTGCTGCTCTGTTTTTTTATGTGTTAAAAGCACAAATTGGATTTGCTAATAGAAACAATTACCGTTTCCATCTTCTTGGATATATTATCATTATTATTAGCATTTGTATTTACAATCAACAGATCCTTACCCTACTTGCATTTATCCACATAACCTCTGCTTCATAATGAAAGGACTAAAGAGAGACATGCCAAGGTCCTAGGATACTTAAGTTTAAGAGGGATTATTGCCACTGAAAGTACATTATGCTAACTATGATGTATACCTTGAAATTTATGAATTTCACATTTAGAGGCCCTTCATAATATAACAGTGGTCGGGGAACAGGAGTAAATTACCCCAAATGGGGTAAAAGTGAAAATCCTGGGGGTAATGAGC